GAATTAAACCCTATGTAAAAGGCTGAAGAATTTCCTGTAGCATAAATTTTGAATAGAAAGAAAATGATAGACATACAGGAAAAAGTATCTTTTTTTTTTTTTTAGAAAAAAATGCTTTGGTTACATAACAAGATAGTATTACAATCAACTGAACATTTCCAATTATATTCCTCAGCAAAATGACATCTCCTTCAATCTCAAATAATAGCTTTTTATACACATGTTTAAGGGAAGAAATGTATAACTTATATTTCTTGCATAATTACTGTGTTTGTACATTTCCATTTTTATCTTTACTGATCAAAGACTTGTAGCAGCTTCTTTAAAACATTCCTGTAACTAATTAAATATCTATTCCAATTGGAGTTTTCTTCTTTATGCCAACCACTTCAATATGTGGGGGAAGTTTCAACAGTAATAACATAAAATTACTCAAAACTATGTAATGACTCAGTATTGAACCCCATGAATAAAATATGAGGTTTATTTAAATTGCAGTAGGTTAATGAAGAAACGCAGTATGTCCTCACTGACAAACCTTTTTAAGAAATCACATTACTTTTCACTTTTGCCATTATTATTAAAGCTCATCTGTCTACCATTCTACTGAAAGCCAGAGCACCTCCCTTAGAATTTTAAAAGCATCATTCACTTTTAGAGGATGCTAAACTCATAGGTGCTGTAGAACAGATTTATAAGAGAAAAGCAATATGGAGCTTGAGTTAAACTAATCATCTCTGTCAGATAGACTTCTGTACTTGACCTCTCTTGTACACTTATGAATTGCTGAGCTCTCATCTTTTGGAATTGATGATGGTGCAGGTATTTTCCTACCTTGTGCAACATTCCACAGTTGGATGATCCAATATGAATTGAGGATGAAGAGAGAAGACCGTTGAATGAGTAGTAGTCATGAAGTGTTGGTCATTGCCCAATGGGCTTCCATTACCTTTGACATCAGAATAATGTTCAAGTGTTTTATCTCCAGTTTCCATTCACTTTGTATAGCTCTTTCACTTTCCTTTCAGTCACCTTAGAATTTATATAAATGTCTGTGTGTGTGTGTTATGAAAGAAACCCACAGATAGGTTTTTTTTTTTAAAGTGACAGAATGGGTCTATAAGTCTCTGAACTTAAATTTTCATCACTATCTAAAATTTTTTATCAATAGCAATATAAATATATACTGAAGTAACTTTAGATTATTTTTCTAGGAATTTATTATCAGTGTTTAATATGACAGCTGTGCCTTCATGACATTAAACATCTAGATAAAATGAAAAAATATATAAAAATACAGATGTTTTCTCTGCATGATATGAAATATTTGGATTTTTTTTTTACAAACATTTCTATTCTTTAATTAGGAAGTTGGTTTATTTTAGTTTTCTATTCAGACATCGATCACCAATACGTAACAAACTCAGAAACAAGAAGCCCAGTATAGTTCTTATTCCAGTTCTACCACAATCTCATTATGAACCTTAGACAAATTGAACCTCAATTTCTTCCTCAGTAAAACTAGGTACTTAGATTAGATGATCTCTAAGGTCCATTCCAGTGCTAAGATCTTATGATTGTCTGTGTGTGTATTTGTGTGTGTGTGTATACATATACACATATATACAGATATATGTACACATGTACATACATTAAATATTGTATATTGTATATGTTTATGTATACACATGTATATGAATATTTTATATATGTTTATTGTAGGCATAAGTGTATTTGGTGTGTACATATGCATACAAATATACATACATGCACATTTATAGATGAACATATATACATGTTTTATATATGTGTGTGTGTGTGTGTGTGTGTGTGTGTGTGTAATTTGTAAGTACTATAATTTTTCAAGTTGTTTATGTCAATAGAGATCCAAATCTCTTTAGCTGGTATTGATACTGATTCATCAGATTTTTCATGTTCACTGACCTCTATATTTTTAACTGTAGATTGAGGCATACTTTTCTCAATGAGAGTATTGTTGGAACTTTGTGTTGTGATCTGTGTACACATGGCTCTAAATCCTGTTCCCTGCTCAGGTTCAATGTTAGGAGAAGTCACTGGACAATTAACAAATGAGGAAGTTTACTTTGCTCTTACACAGCAAGTATCTACAATGAGGAAACCGAGACAGTTTCTTTATATGCAACCACCTCCACCTTCCACCCTTTACCCCAACCCCCACCCCACTCTGTTTCCATTGAAACAAGTCTTGTCAGTCAATCCTCAGGATATGGTGAATTGCATAGTCTCAGGCACACAGCCAGTCTGAGAGACACCCACTACTCAGGGCTGGGACCTTTTATGCATGCAAATTAAAAAGCTAAATCAGGAAACTATGGCCCATCAGGTTGCCTAGAGGGAGGAAGCTGTTTCAGGAAATTCTTGGTCCTATTACATTGGTCTGTTTTTTAAAGTCTCTTTTGTTTTGTATTCTCTAAATCTTCTTCCCAGTTTAGTGAATGGATTTTGTTCTTAAACTAATAAAAAATGTAGAACCAAAGATATATTCTGAATTTTGGGGAACAATATAAAATTAGACTGAAGTTACAAAATGAAATCATAACTTCATATATGTTTACCACCAACATTTGAAACATTTTAAAACACAGTTGATGAAAATCTTATTTGGAACTGCTATTCCTGAATGCCTTTGTCTTACTCCCTCAAAACTTAAATTTTTACATTTAACGCAAGTAGTGTTATATGGTAGAATAAGCAATAGATTTGTACTCAGAAGAAATGATATTTATTGTATCTTGTCTCTGCCACTTGTAAACTGAGTGAACTTAGGCAAGTTTCAACTTTTTAAGCCTCAGTTTCTTCATCTGTGAATTAAGGATAATAATACTTATACTACCAATCTAACTTTGTTGTTATGGAAATTTTTATTGGAAGATCCCTGAAGAATTTTTTCACATTTTATGAGTTGCCATGACCAAAACAAACAAACAAATGAATGAATCAACAAATAAATAAATGACCTGGTGGCCAATATTGTGACAATAAGCTTTGTAGTACTTAACTAAGGCAACTAGACAGCACAGTGCATAGACCACTGGACCTGGAATCCATAAGTTGTTGTTGTTGTTGTTGTTAAGTCATTTTTCAGATATGTCCAACTCTTTGTGACTCCATTTTGGGGTTTTCTTGGCAGAGATACCGGAGTGGTTTGCCATTTTCTTCTCCACCTCATTTTACAGATGAGGAAACTGAGGCAAACATAGTCAAATGATTTGCCATGGATCACACAGCTAATAAATTTCTGAGGCCAGATTTGAACTCAGGAAGAAGAGTCTTCCAGGCCTAGCATCCTATCCACTGTGCCACCTAGCTGCCTGGAACTAAGAAGACCAAAGTTCAAATGTGGCCTCAGACACTTAATAACTATGTGACCCTGGCCAAACATATAACTTCTGTCTGCCTCAATTTCCTTCAACTGTCAAGTTAGGATAAGAATAGCATCTACCTCAAAGGGTTGTTGGAAAGATCAAATGCGATAATATTTATAAAGCACTTAGCATAGTGCTGGCTCATGCTTCCTCTTCCCCCTGTGTTTAGAACTATGCTAGTTCTTAGGTTCCAGACATAAAGCCCTTCTTATTGGTAACATGTACCAGAGCTTGTACACCCCCTGCCGTGATCTTTGAGGGCCCAGAACCATGTCACAATGAGACATTAAAATAAAGTTTTAATTGAGTATTATGAAGGAAAGCACTTCATCAACTAGAAAGGTGAGCTATTTCTTATGTCTGGTTCCTTGGATCTCAAGACATTGATTCCCATCCTTTTTGGAAGTGGGACAGTCACTTGGGGGACAATAAAGTTCCCAGGATTGTTGGTTTAGAGATGGAAGGGACCTTCCATGTCACCTATTCCAATCTCATTATTGTATAAGTGAAAAAAACTGAGGCCTGAAGAGAGAGACTTGCTCAAGGTCATACAGGTACTAAGTGGAAGAGCTTGATTTGAACCTGAGGTCTTCAGACTCCAAATCTAGCATTCTTTCCATGGCACCATTCTATCTCCCTAGAAAGAACATAGAACCAGTAGTTGGAAATCCTGGATTCTATTCCTAGCAGATACCAACTGAATGACATTAAGCAAGTCCCTTAGGATCTTTCTGTGCCTTGTTTTCATTTGCAGAAAAAGAACAATGTCTATCCTACCTACTTTACAGGGTTGTTATAAGCATGCAGAGGGACAGTTGATGTGAAAGGATTTACTTCATCACCAAGTCTCTACTACTACATCTTTCTACCTCTGAAGTATTCCATTTAACCTCTCAGTGCCTCCAGACATTTCCCTAAGACTTAATTGTTTTTGTTTGTGTGTGTGAGTGTGTGTGATGGATCCCTCTTGCAGTCTGGTTGAAGCCTATGAAACCCTTCTCAGAACAATATTTTTCAATACATAAAATAAAATGCATAGGCTTACAAAGGAAACCAATTCTATTGAAATAAGGTTGTCAATATTTTTGAAAATCATGGACCTCAGGGAAAGAACCTCTGTTCTAAGATACTAAGTTTGAGAGCACTGCTAATGAGCATTAGTACAGAGTTCCTCACCAAAAATTCCCCATACTAAACAAATCACAAATACAGTTTAAAACAAAAGGAATAAGAAATACAGCCAAACAAAAGGTATTTTTACCTTACATTTGATTATGGGACACCTCCTAGAAGTACTGTCATATAATCATTTGCTCTTCAAACTGAAACAAAGACAGCTGTGTTTTGTTTTCTAATTTCAAAAATTAGGACTGAGAGACACTTCTGTAGGCACATGAAAGCTGATGGCCAGATGTTACAATACCCCATGGCAAAAGGGCCCCAGATTTTGTGATTTGTACTTGGAAGGAATATGACTCTGCACAGATCCTATCCTAGCAGCTTAACTGGTTTTTTTTCCCCTTCTTGTCATGAGGTTTCAATGAAATACGTTACGTACTAAGAATATATTTTTTTCTTATTTTCTTTTAACAGATGGCTATACGACTGATGACATTGAATTTTACTGGCGTGGAGATGATAATGCAGTGACAGGAGTGACAAAGATAGAATTGCCACAGTTCTCTATTGTTGATTACAAACTGATTACCAAGAAGGTTGTTTTCTCCACAGGTTGGTACTAAAGAAGAAGGGAAAGTGGAAAGGGTATCTTCCACAAGTGATGGGAGGGGGGTGGATAGGTGTAACTCTCTGGTGGTATCAGAGGAGAAAGGGTATAAGATGAATGAATTCTACTGATAACAAGGAATCCTTAAAAAATCATTTAACACTAAAAATTCCAGTCCCCTTTATGATGAATTATTGTACAAAAGTTCCACACTATTTTGAGTTTGATCTCTTTTTTCAATCAAGTAGAACAAGTAAAGAGTAATAAAATTGTCAAAAGTAAAAAATCAAGAGGGTCTTTTAGGACAAGATTTGTGGTGGAGTGGAGGTGGGAGAAGTGGAGAAATTTCTGCCAACCTCAATATTTTGACCTGCCACTGCTTTGAGTATAGGGATTAGATTCAGCTTTGGGAGAGGTGCTTTAGAACTACTTGAAGCATTGGAGGTCAAGTGATTCAAACACTGGTTTGGATTATTCCTATTCTTGGGGATAATTCTTTAATATGCTTAGTTGGTGGGAACTATAAAAATGTTTTAAGGGCAAGTCCACCATGTCAGATAATAAATCAAGCCAAGAAAGGCCAGCTGGCAAAAAGACCAATCTGGTAGAGTTTGTTTTTGTTGTGTTTATTCAGATTGTGTGTGTGTGTGACTGTGTGTGTGTGTGTGTGTGTGTGTGTGTGTGTTTTAAGAGTACATCAGTACCTCTTTAAATAGCCCCTTTCTGCTTTACTGCCAGGAAGCTTTGTCACACCATCCCTCAGCACAAAGAAGAAAAGAAAATCAACAACATTAGTATTTTTTAAGGCTAAGCTCAGTCTTATAATCATGTTTTTATGTTTTCTTTGCAAAGTCAAAGAAGAGTGCAGAAAAAAGATTTTAAATCCTGAACTATTCATTCAATGACAAATAATCAGTCCAGAGGAACATCTTCTTTATGCATGGGCCTGATCCCCATCCAGGGAAGTCTAATGGAAATGAGATCTTCTATAAGCAGTTAATCCAATGTCAGCTGCCTTGCCCATTCTCCTTCTGGTGATGTTCCAACTCCTTTTTGTCCAAGCAAATTACTTGAAACTGCAGCATGATACTGGTGGACAAAATCAAAATGACAGCCAGATTGAAGACAGGAATGAGGGAAATAGATCTCCACTTCCCCCCTGGCTTCTGAACTTTTAGGATGTCCCTCATCAATGACTTCATCCCTGAATTTCCTCTTTTAACTTTAGTTCTCTCTGTTAGACCTAAGGAAGCAAAAAGAAGCTTTCTCTCAGAATATTTGTTTTTTCTCATTTTCTATCAGTTCATCTTTGGAGCTATTTTAATTTAATGCCATGTTTGGGTAATACCCCCCAAATCCCATCACCATCAATTCTCACCCTTGCCTGGAATGAATGGCATTAAACAATAATTGGAGACAGAGATTTCTAAGAAACTTGGGTCAGGTTAAATTGGATAGACAGATCAAAGCCATGTTGTGCAGGGCTTACGGTGCCATGCCAGAGAGTCTCTACTTTATCTTGTAGTAGGTAGGGAATGTCCAAAGGTTTTTGTATAGAGAAGTGATATGACTAGAGTCATGAATTAAGGAAATTACCTAAGGTGGTATGAAAGGGATGTACTGAGTAGGTGAGAGATTGGAGGAAGCAAGATCAGTTAAAAGGCTATTCTAAAACTAATAGTGAGATGAAATGAAGGCCAGAGCAAGGTGGTGAAAAAACTGAGAAATATTGCAGTGGCAAGATCAATATACTTTGCAATTTATTGAACATCTGGGGATGGGGAAAGGAAAATGTCAAAGACTATTTGAAGGGTAGGAACCTGAATGACCAAGATGAGCCAATTAGGTGATGTAGTAGTTAGATCAGTGAGCATGGAGTCAGGAAGACCTGAGTTCAAATCCATCCTCCTTACTGCTGTGAGATGGGCAAGTCACTTAACTTTTTCCTCAGTTTCCTCAATTATAAAATAGGGATAATAATTTCACCTACCTACCAGGGAAGTTGTGAGGATCAAATGAGATAACATTGGTAAAGCACTTAGCACAGCACCTGGCATGTAGTGGCACTAAATAAATACTTATTCCTTAATCTTTTCCTTTCCATCTTCAAAAATCAAAGTTAGGTGAGTAACAGGTTTGGGAAAAAGATATTGAACTTGCCATATTATAGAAGCTGTAGTTGGAGATATCCACCAAATGCCTGTAGGCAATGATGTAGGACTACATCATTGAGGAAAGGTTGTAGGATAGGAAGAAGAGATGAATATAGAGAGATGGGTGCTATTTATAGAGCTAATAATTTAATGGGAATGAGTGAGATCAATAAGGGAAAGTCAATATAGGAAGAATAGAGGATCCAGGATAGAATATTAGAGGAGACATCCATATTCAAGTAGTCAGAATGGGAAGAAGACCTAGCAAAGAAGTCAAAAAAGGAGTAATCAGAGAAGAATTGAAAAAACTCATTGTCAGGGAAGCTGAGGGAATAGGATTGTCTATGACGAGGGGATGGTCAGTAATGTCAAAGGCTTCAGAAAGCAACAACAACAAAAAATTAAATCCTTTTGGACTTAGGTCATTACTGACTTTGGAGAATGCTATTTCCAGACTAGTGGGAGCAAATTCAGAAAACAAGGTGTTAAAGACTGTTTATTTCCCAACATCCCTAGGAGGCAGGTACAGTTATTATGATTATTTTATGGCTAAATAAACTGAGGTTCATAGAGGTTAAGTAACTGCAGATAGGTGGTATTGTAGATAGAGCATAAGACCTGGAGTCAGGAAGACCTGAATTCAAATCCAGCCTCTGACATTTACTACCTTTGTGACCCTGGACAAATTATTTAATCTATTTGTCTCAGTTTTCTTCTCTGTAAAATAGTGATGATAATGGCATCTACCCCCCAGGATTGTTGTGAGTATCATATGGGATACTAATGTTAATGTGTTTAGTGCAGTGCCTAGCACATAGTAAGCACTATATAAATGTGAGCTATTACTTCCCTAAGGTCACCAGTGAGGGGTCATAAGTCAAACCTAGCTATCCCTCATTTCAAGTTCACTATGCCTAAACCACTTTTTCTTCATCAAAAACTCTAAACTCAGATCCCCTATTCACACAAGAAGCATTTCTTGCCCAAGAGCAATAAGGGGGTCTATAGCTATGTATGGAGAAGAGATCTGCAAGCAGAGTGTTATATTTTAATGATAGCAGACACTTGAAAGATATCAGATGATAGTGATGGTTCCTAAACCTTCTCTTTCAGGCTCTTACCCCAGACTGTCCCTCAGCTTCAAGCTTAAGAGAAACATCGGATACTTCATCTTGCAGACCTATATGCCCTCCATTCTGATTACTATTCTCTCATGGGTTTCCTTCTGGATTAACTATGATGCCTCAGCAGCACGAGTAGCTTTAGGTAAGTCATTTTCATGTAACTTGGTGAATTTGCTTTGCCTTGAACTTGTGATGCATGATGAAGCCAGATCAGGACATGCTAAGAAGATTTGGCTGTTAGGGCTTGGGCAATCTGATTCAGCATTAAATCAATTAAGCACAAATTAAGACTCTTTCATGTCAGAATTAGTTAAGCGTATGGTTTTTGGTAATGAAATTAGTTCCATCATCTTGATGTTATTATTGAAGCATATTTCATGTAATGTTATTCACATGATTATTTCATGGTACCTGTTTAACACATATCAGTCAACCTATTTTATGGGTGAGAAAGAGAAATATAATGGTGTATATTTAATAACTTACAAGATGCAAAAACATCAAATTTTAAGTCTCTATAATATTTTGTTTGGAGTTTGAATGGCAGGAGGTACCAAAATAGGCATACTATTAAAGCAAAGCTGTCATAGCTTATCCTATTCTCGTTAAAGTTCAAATTATTACATCAGAGGGAGGGGAGAGAAGAGGAAAGAGACAATAATGAATTATGCTTCCTGGGGATTTTGGTAGTAGCAAGTTTATTTAATATCAAGATCACATAAAATAATTACCATTATACTGAAAGTAAAATGGCATCAGACAAAAACTTAACTGTGAAGGACAAGGTAGTATAGGAATGTTCCACGGTGCTCCTCAAAGAACATCATTTACTATACACAGAGCTCCAGAGATCAAAGAAAAAGGAAACGACACTTTTCTTTAAACCTCTTTGAGGGTAATCAGGCTTATAAACAGAACATTCTCAGTGTGATTATCAGAGACAGAATGTCAGATTGTCAGAGACAGACATGATGATGGAGAAACCATTAATGTATTAGCATGTCTTATGATAAAGTTTTTCCAAATATGAAGATTCAATTCAACTGATACTTAAATGCCCATTCTGTGTCCAGAGCTATGCCACAGGGGATACAAAGAAGAATCATATACAGTCCTTGTCCTCATGGATCTTACATTCTAGAAAGAATAATAGCAAGGGATTCAAATTAGCATATTTAATGGAATTTTCTTGTTCTTTCAGGAATTACCACGGTACTCACAATGACAACCATCAATACTCATCTTCGAGAAACTCTCCCCAAAATTCCTTATGTGAAAGCCATTGACATGTATCTTATGGGGTGTTTTGTCTTTGTGTTCATGGCACTGCTGGAGTATGCACTGGTCAACTACATCTTCTTTGGTAGGGGACCCCAACGTCAAAAGAAAGCAGCTGAAAAAGCTGCCAATGCCAACAATGAGAAGTTGCGCATGGATGTCAACAAGGTAAATAAGCCCATAATCTTACTTCAAATTATCTCTTTAATTTCCCTACTATAGACATGGTATTAGTTGAGAGAGAGAAAAAAGTACATCATGGGATAGAATTTTAGAATGAATCTAAATCAATTAAGATAACATGATCCTCAATCACTCTTGTCCTTTACATTTTTCATGACTATTTGCATTTAATTTATTAATTTTAGGCTTAAAGTAATATATAGTTTTATAACTGATTGAACTAAGAGAGAGAATCAAGAGAGTCCCAGAATTGTTAGTCAAGCATTAGGGTATAGAAACATCCACAGAGGGAATATACACCATCAAAAAAGAACTAGTATATATTGTTCCCTGGTGGGGCTGGTTCTCAAATAGATATCTATCCTATTCTTAAAACTTACCAGAATAAGGGAGAGCTTATTTCCCTGGATCAGAATTTCAACAAAGCTAGGCTTTTATTGCTGATCCTATACTCTGTTTAAAATGGTTCCTCATGATACAAAGGATATTAGTGCAGATTCTTGCCTCATTTAAGCTGTACTCTACAACCTCCTAGAGCAGTGTGTCTGTGTCCTTCACATAACACAGCAAACAAAATATATATTCGTCTTTACTAAAAGATGATTTGATTGATAGCTTTCACCCTAGTAGTTAGTCTTAAAAGTTGAATGAAACACATCTCAAATGTGTTTGCTGCAAAATCCATGGAAAAAATTATTTCAAAGTTTACCGATTGTTTCTGAGGTCAGAACACCTGGGCCCATCATAATTAGCTAAAAGATGATGGTCACAGCTTGCAGAGATTCCATGCACCTCTGATTACTGGTTTTTATCTTATTCCAGAAGGAGGTCAGAGGCAGTTCACATCATTCTCCATATATGATTTTGTTGTTGTTACTGTTAATGTTATCACTATCATGAATAATGTCACTCTATTTCTTGTTAAGAAATTTCCTTCCTGGGAGTAGACAAAATGAAAGCAGTAATATTCCAAGTTTCTTAGTTTCCAACAGTCATCTAAGTAAGGGCTTCTGAGGGGTCCATGGGGCCCCAGGAGGTTCATGGCTAACTTTCAGAAAGTTCCTGAAATTGGATGGGAAAACATTTATGTCTTTATTTTCACTAACAACTAATGGAAATTTAGCATTTCCTTCAGTGATTAAAAATATTTTAAGAAGGATTCCATAAGTAGGCTTCACCAGACTGCCAGAGAGGCCCATCTCGCACGCACATACACACACACACACACACAGAGCAAAGGTTAAAAAACTCTGATTTAAGTGTTTTTGCTGCTTTGGTGCATCCAGATTATAGCATGACTGGGTGAGAAGGGGAGAAATAATCTTCCAATGTTATTTGAGTTCAAACCATAGAATATTAGAATTGGAATGAATCTAAGAACATAGAATGCTAGAACTGGAAAAGACCTTAAAGGTCATCTAGTCTAACCCTTCATTTTACAGATAAGGAAACTGATGCCTAAATAGATGAAATGACTTACTTAAAGTCACACAGCTCTGAATAAGGGGGGAGGGATTAGAAATTGAACCTCCAAAAAAGAAAATAATTACAAATAAATCCTCAAGTCATTTTTATTCAATTGATTACGCATGAAAATCCCTTTCTGACTATAAAAACTGATAACCCTTAGTCAAAGCAAGTATCACTTACTTAATCAGTTGGATTTATACTGCTATTCAAAGTGAAAAATATTTAAGTTTTCATTAGTCCCATGCCCTTTAATAGCTTTATAGAATCTTTTTTGAGTATCCTATTTCAATAAATGGAATATTCTACAAATGACATTTCTATGCAGAACTCTATTGATTCTTCTCGATTAGTCTAACATTTTCTTCTTGTGATGATTCTAATTTGCTCCTACTTTTTTTCCTAACTGTATTTCTTCTACCCTTATCTTTTTTATCTTTCAATTACTTCCAGATGATCAGATTTTCTTGTACCTCCTCAATTTCTTTTTTGTATAAATACCGAACTATATATGCACTCCTCTTTCTTTCTGTATCCAATTCACTATATATGGCTGCCCTTTTGCTGTCCTGGCCCTTGCCTCTCTGAAAAATCCCAATATATTTTCTATACTACTACTATCTAATACTATAATACTACATATTGACTATAGTTTTCCAATTAAAGGTGCACCAAGGTCTTTCACATAAGCTCCTTTTCACTTTGCTCTCTCATGTTATGTAATATGCAACTGAGAATGATGGCGACTTGGGGCCTTGTCTTTATGTTGTGAGTTTGTGTCTTGTCTTTACTAGTATACTTGACCTATTTGTAGTTTAAAGGCACTAAGCAATACTGATTGTACAATGAGATAAAGATGATATATTAGGGATAAACTAAGTAAAAATCCCATTCTGGAACTTTGTGGTCATGTATTGTAGCTTTGAACGACCATTTGCATTTATTTATATCCAAGCTAACTTTGACCACCAATCCAATCTAGCAGTATCAGTGAACTTAATTAGCACATTCTCTACTTTGTCTTCCAGATTTTTTATAAAGATATTAAACAAAATGGGACCCAATATCGATCTCTCTGGGACCCTACTGGAAACCTCTCCCCAACTAGACGGACTACCAATTACGATTACTCTCTGTATACGGTTAGATAGCCAGTTTTTGATCCATTTATTTGTATTTTTGTTGGAGCCAATTTGTATTAGCTGTTCCCTTAAGATACTGTATGGTGCTTTAGCAAATGCCTCATTGGCATCCAGATATATACTATCTGCTAAAATTTTTATAATGATCAATTGTAATAAAGAGACCCTAGAGGGATTATGAGGGGTTGTTCATAATTTAATAGCCTTGTTGTTTACAGTGCAAGGCCTAGTTAATCAAATGGATCATATTGAGATTCTTTTTCATCATTAAAAAAACTGTATTTCAAAGATAAGACTCATGGACATGGTTCCATTTTCATGTTTTCTTTTGTTAGAGGTTAGGGGTGGGGGTTAACTTTTCTTTTATGGGTGTTCTCAGTTTCTAATGGTAATGTGTCTTCTAGCCTGAAGTTATGTATTTATGTACAGGAAATGTTAAATTTGCATCAAGTCCTTGTCACTTCATTTTCATTTAGTTTCAACATGAATGTTACCATGGCAGATTCAGATCCATTGTAGTAACAGGTGAGATGAAACAGTTGAGTTTCTGCCCTGTCAGATTTCTTAACTTCAATGGATTTCCCATAGCCCCCAGAAGAGCCTGTTTTTTGGCTGGGGATTACAATATAGTCATGCAATCTTCATATAGTGTCAATTTTGGATTTTTTTCATGTATTCTGTAAATTTAACTCTACCCATATAATTATATTTTCTAATAAGATTTCCTCTACTGTCTTTTTGTAAAATTGGCTGTTGTTGACCCTTTTCCCATAAGGACTTGATGCTTGATACTCTTTCATTATTGTGTCCTTCTAAATTTTCCATGTCTCTTTAAGTTTGTTCCATGTTAATATGTGACAAGATCACAGGATTCATGATATCTTATTCACTGCCTTTGATGTTACATTTGGTACTGAGTTCTGCTCTATGTAGGAGTAATTTTAAAATGTTTATTATGACAGTTAAAAGATGGGTATTCCAATTTATGGGTTCCATATTATACATTTTGTCAGCATTATTCTTTAGATATTTAAATTTGGAAAGATACTTCAAAAAACATATTATGTGTTTTGTGGTCATTCATTCATTCAATAAGTATTTGTTGACCAGCTATATTAGCTCAAGGGTATCTAATTCACAATGCTGGTGTTTTCAAAATAGAGCTTCCATTTTATATTGATGAGGTAAATTGAAGCCTCAAGGATTCTTCTTTGAATAATTTAAATCTTACTCATCTAGAATGGAATGTATGTGAGAAAATGTTCAGATCTATGTTGAAAATTGTTGAAATGGGTGAAAATATACAAAAAATAGAGAATCAGATTCCTTTAAATGACTTTTCTACTTTTAAGTTGACTGTTACTTCCACTTTGATGCTCAACAACTTTCTCTGATTATGAGGACATTGTATATAGAAAGTTTATTTTTCTAGGACACTAACTGGTAGATTTGCTGGCTTACAAGTCTTAATGTACCTAGTATACTTGATGATTTATATTTATTAATATCAGTATTTTAATTTATTTTTTGAGTTTTTTAGACTTATTACCTAATTTGACAGAATGTGGTCTAGAACTTAACAGAAAGTGTGTTTGTCTAAAGGTTCAATGTCATTCCTTGAAATAAGAATTTTAGTATCTTCTGCATTTAACTATTTTACCTTTTATCAGTTTGAAGATTTTCTCTTTTCAGTTCTATGTACATGAACACATATGTATTACTTGTGTTCATTTTTATTGCATACATAATCGTGAGTATTCAGATTGCCTAGGTCATAGATACTGATCAGAGTGAAATGTGGTATAATTAAAGCTATATTGTGTAGCCATGTAGCAACTTGGAAAACTTGCTTTTAAAAAATTAGATATATAAATCTTATATTTCAACTAAAAGTCTGCATAGGCTATACCCACATTCATCTTTTCTTTTCTTTCTTCCACTCAACTCTTCTCCTATTTAGCTTTCTATCATTAAAGCAGAATAATTCAGTAATTCAGATTAACAATCATTTACTAAGGTGAGCATGGTAGCACATTCCTGTAACCCTTGCTACTAGGGAAACTGAGGCTGGCAGATTTCTTAACTCAGGAGCTCACAAGTTAAGCCAAACAAGTGTATGCACTAAGTTCAGTATGATCCTGTAGAAGCAAGAGGGTCTCAGGATGCTGAAGGAGGGGCAAACTAGAAATGGAACAGGTCAAAATCCCCATGCCAATCAGAGTGGGATTGGGCCGATAAATAATTTGGCATTCGGCCCATAAACAACTCCTATACTTTGAGCCTGGGCAAAATAGGGAGAACTAGTCTTTGAAAACAATAATAACAAATTATTTACTGAGCATATTCTAAACAGAAGGTGCTGTGCTAGATAGGCATATTGAGTTTTGTGGGAGAAACAAAAATGAATAGGAAAAGGCCTCTACCCTTAAAATATCTACATGCTGGTAGGGAAAGTGTGGCATATAACAATTATGTAAAGAATCCTTCAGGACTTCCTCTAAATGTGTATCCTCATGGTGGGGATAAAGTCATAAAGAAATTAGATATGATAAGACGGCTGTGGAACTGAGAAGAGAGCACTAGAATGAGAGTGCAAAGGTGACCTATGTTCTAGTCCTCACTCGGCCAGTATCTAGCAATGAGAATCTGTGGAACTCTTTGCAAGGTCAGTACTCTGAGGACTCACTTGCCTCATCTATAAAATTAGAAAGTTAGACTAGATGACCTCTAAGGTCCTTAGCTCAAAACATGCTAGTATTCTATCATTTTATTTTATTTTCATTATCTAACCTGCAGGAGAAACAACTTAGTGGATAAGAAAGCTGATCCTGAAACCAGGAGTATATTGGTTCAAGGCTTGCCTCTAACACTTAGTTAATATGTGATCCCGGGCAAATAATTTTTTTCTCTCCATGCTCTAGGTTATGGTGGGGTCAAACTCAAATAGAAATGGATCCTTCTGAGCTGCATATTGACTTTAAAAAACAAAAATTAGTATTATGTTTTGTTGTATTTTCATTTATTTTGTTTAACATTCCCCAATTACATTTTAACTTGGTTGAGCTGCACTCAGGAGTTTTGCACTGCAGGTTTTACCTCTCTGCTATCAGATGCTTTCTAAGACTCCAAGATACTGAGAAGATGCAAACTTACATGGTTAAGGAAAGTTTCTCACCCAGGGCATTTCCTATACCAATGAAATAGAAGGTCTATTCCCTATCTGTCTAATACCCTCTGAAATAAATAAATGAGGAATTATTATCCCTTTTCATAGATGAGGAACCTAAAGCACGGAGTGATTGATCCATAATCACATAATGAATCAGTGGTAGAGCAAGGACTGTTGAGCCCAACTCTCTTTAATCTTACTTCATTGTTCTTTTCTCAACACTATGTCAGTACTTTTGGAAGTTCTAGCGATTTGTAATTAGTGAGTCAGATTTTTATTTTCCCTCTTGCTCAGTTAAGAAGGTGCAGCCTCACATTTACTCACGATTTCCCTTAAACCAGATTCTCCTGGACATATGTGTATATATATATATATATATATATATATATATATACACATACATGTGTGTATGTATGTGTGTATATGCATGTGTATGTATTATGTGTGTGTATGTGTGTGTGTATGTCCCCTGGTGGGGTCAACTTGGAAACCACATGGGCTTTGTCTACCTGATCCTGCAACCATAAATGTGGGAGATAGAGTTGGCATGTGAAGCCATCACACTTTATATACTATCATTTGCCATGTTACCCTCAGTACCAGGCAAAGTCATGTTTGAAACCTAAAGGAAGGGAAGGAAGGGAGGAAGGAAAGAAGGAAGGAAGGAAGGAAGGAAGGAAGGAAGGAAGGAAGGAAGGAAGGAAGGAAGGAAGGAAGGAAGGAAAAGAAAGAAAGAAAAAGAAGTTTTTAATGAGAAATGAGGGATGGAGTCCCATAAATACTCAATCATGGAAGCCATGGTTTCTGGATGCTAAATTAGAAATAGATACTAAGATAAAAGTGAGTTATATAGTATGTGGTTCAAAGAGTTTGTTCTTGAGAAAAAGACTAGGCAAAGCTAATAGGCTGGATAAAGGATGCTACTGTGGCATTCATTTGCAGCAATGGGAATTGAATTAAACTTTTATCAGCCATCACTCTATCAATATTAAATTATTTTATAAGACAAGTAAAGTGCCTAGGATGACCATTAGTTTCCCAAAGAAATTAGATCTCATTTTATAATCACTGACAGAGAAGAAGCCTGCAGTAGCCCCAGATGCTTATTTAATTGGGACAAGGGGTTTCTTGGGAGATATAACACAAATGGACCATAAAATAGGGTCTTCTGCTAAATAAGCTCGCAGTTTTCCTCCCAGAAGATTTCTGCAACTTTCTTTCAATGTGATAGCCACTGTTAGCTCATTTTATATTCCTCAAACATGCTTAGTGTCCTACACTACTGCATCTTTGCTCTTGGGAGCCTCTTATGATTCATGCTCTCGTGAGGACTAGGTTCCCACCTGGCTGCCGCGGAGCTCTGCATACTTGCTTTATGCACTCCCAATCTGACATACCACTGGTCTATACTTTGCTGACCACATAGTACACTGTGCTATGAAGGCCAAGGTTATGAGTTTGAACTCTTTGTGGATCAGTCAAATTTGTTTTATTTATGGTTGCTATAGACTATTCCACCTTACCTGAGCTAGTTGGCTGAGAAATACTAAACTTGGGTCACAATAGGAATCAAAAGAAAGACTATGACTCTACTATCAAAATAATAATAATAATTCAGCAAATGCTTATTGAGTACTAAGTTTCAGTAGGAATTGCCAGAAACAAAGGTATATAAACACATGAAAAATCAAATAATAGTATAAGAAAACCATTTAAGATATTAAATAGTGTAGTATATGAATAAGTGCCCAATGAGAGGTAGAGGTAACAAGTTGTGTGAGTTCAGAGGAAGGTGAGATCTCTGACCTCAAGGAGCCAAAGTCTTGTTGGA